TTTCTCTCAAAAATTGAGTTGTTAAAATAATTCCAAAAAAATAATTTGATTTTGAAAAATATCTAAGAAAACATATAGGTTGGAAGTAATGATTGGCTAAGTCTAGGGGCCCGTGGAAAACTGATAAAATCTATATTACCTGAACACTCTTTGTTTCCTGAGTAGGTTGCGAGTTTAACGTGTATTTTGTACTATAGTACTTGGATTTTGAGAAGTACCTCCTGAGTAGTTGATTTTAACGGTCTGATAAGTTTTTTATTCACTTGTCATGAATGATCGATTGAGAAAAGAAAAAAATAATAAGCACTAAAAGATAAAAAATGGCGGTAAAAGGCGGCTGCACCTACTAAGTTGAGTAACCCTCTCTCGGTTATTCAGCTCAACGATGGTCGAACCCAATGTCTAACTAAAATGGTCAATAAATACACACAAAAGTGTGCAAATTACATCTGCAAAAAAATTGATTGATCTGGTGCGGGTGATGATTACTATTATTTCAAAATACCTTAATTTGATTGTTTGAACAAAAGAGGCGAAAAATCGAAAAATAAAAAAATAGACTAAAGTCCAAAGCATAGTTAGACACGTGATTAAAATAAGAAACTTTTGTCTATATCTGTTTTACAGTTTTGTGTTCTCGTAATACTTTTGGTGTTAGTAAGTACGGGGAAACTTAGGTCTTATCCAGTCAGAATAACAAGCCACATATGAGTATAAGCGATTTCATTCTTTTAAGCTTTTGAAGAATCAAACCGCTTGATCCTAATTTTTTCTAAGCAAGCTTGTTGCTTGAGGACAAGCAACGATTTAATTTTGAGGGTGTATTTAATAAGCGATAATTGCATCGTATTTCTTGCTTGTTTTCTTTTCATTTTCTTATGTGTTTTCATATTTTTAGTTCGATTTTATGTGCTTTTATCTTCCATTTATGTTTTTAGGTAATAAGAGGGTAATTGACCAAATTAGAGCGAAAAAGGCCGAAGATCGCGTGAAAATCCGTTCTTGCCATACAAAATTCTCATGGCCAACACGGCCAGGTCGTGTCCCCTAACATGGGTTGTGTTAGCCCTTGAAGCAATGCCTATATATTAAAGTCGGGGTTGACACGGGCTGGTCGTGTCCCCTGACATGAATCGTGACATCTTCTTAGATAGTTAAAAATTCTTCAATTTTTGGACGTTTTTGTGAGTTTTGGACATCCATAACCTCCCAAGGCTTTATGTTATTGAGTAATGATGATTAAGCACGAAATTATTGTTGATTATGAATGAATTATGGTTAGTTTTAGTATAAATAGGACTTGAGCATCAAGCAAAAGAATCATCCCTCACTTGTTACTTTCCATTTGTTGATTACTTCCATTTTGTGGTTTTCTAGCTTTTGCTTCTCGCTTTCACTTGTAATCTATCAGTAACTTTGATATAATAATTTTTGCTTTATTTATTTTAAGTTTGCTTCAATTTAGTGTTGTTATGTTGCTTTATTTTTATTCAGTTGCATTTTATGCCTTATCACTGTTTAATTATTGTTAACTTCACCATATGTGAGTGGTCCTATAAGGGCAAGAGCTCGTGAGAATCTATCTCATAACGATCCCTAATTGATTATTTGAAATTGGAATACGAGAATTATAAGCTATTTTATTTTAGAAACTAAGTTCCAAAAACATGTTTATATCGGTTGCGAAAGCAAAGACAATTCATATACGATCATAGTCTGAAAGGATATGAATTGATATTAAATTACAGATTGCTAAAGAATTGAGTTTGAGGCGCCACTGACAAAGCGACTTGATCTCAATTGAAAAACAACCAAACTGCAGCATCCCGTGACAAGTCGTTCTCGCTCTTAGTTGAATCGTTTAATTGTGACATAAACATGTCTATATGCGCACACCATGAAAATGGATGTCGCACATATTTATCTACTTTTCTATAAATAAACTTAGAAATTCATGTGATTCGAATATGGATAATCGATAAGGTAAGCCTGGATAGAGTATCATAACCTTGTGTCCTGCTTTATTTATCTGTTAAATTTTATTTCAATATGCATTAAATCAACCAATCATTGTGACTGCTTTAGCTAAACAACGTTAAAATAAAGATTTAGTACTCATATACATCTCCTTGTGGGTTCAATCTTTTTGTACTACTTTGACAATGTTGTGTGCTTGTGTTTGGGCAACATCATGTATTTGACTATGTCTAGTGGTATTTCAGAGTGTCACATATGACACCTGATATTGAGGAAGAGCCACTTAGGGCTGCTCATCAGGAAATATCAGAGGAGGAGTAGGTTAGGACAAATCACTGTTTAAATTTTCCTTTCTTGTCAAAAGAATTTATAATATTTTAATTTTATCCAATTTCATGCTTGACATTTATGCATCTCCGAAAACATCAGAGTCATTAACTAAATCAGCTCGGTGAATAAAAATACCATAAATGAATACATGAGATATTTCGAAGATGCATATCTGAATACACAAAAATTATATGGAGATACATCTCTGGACCCCTAGGGTGGAATGAACATTCCTATTTCCTATGATCAATAGACTTTGGAGAATAAGCTTATTTAATGAAGTGGAGATGGTGTTGCCAAGAATGGAGAATAATAGTATAATTTCTAATCACGTATACAAATAAGGGTGAAGTACTCAATGGCATCACTGTCACTTTAGTTTTAATTAAACGTCGTGTGTTCTTGTTTTGTTCATTTTCAATGAGTCAAATCACAAACCAATCTGAGAAGGTAGGACCTTTGAAAGCTAAAGTTCTTGTATATGATAGTATTTTATATGATTTATTGAGAGCTGAAATGAAACGATGAGTCTTTAAAATACAAGTCATATATCTTGGCAAAATGCGATATTAATAAGTCTGCATATAAATATGTATTTGATAATCAACCCTATCATCAAATAATCCTGTAAAAGTAATATATCCAGCAATTATAACTAATCACTACAACTCTGGATAGGTCCATTTGTGGATCAGACTCCTCCATTAAATTTGTCTGAAAATCAAAGAGTTCTGAAGTGCCTTTGAACTGAGTCTAACAGTTGAACATGTTGACTTAACTTATCTATATTATTGAGTTCTGTACTTCTGTCGTGCATGAAATTGCCTATTAGTGGCGTAACAGACCGATTGTTATATGCAACACAATCTCTCAGTAAACATAAGAATTTCATCTCTTCCGCTATCTTGATAGCCTCTTCAATCAGGCTGATGTCTTTATGAAGAAATATTATTCTTTCGCACGAAAGGCATTAATCATACTATTACATGCAATTAAATCAAGACCACCTTCCATGTTCTGGATCCACTCGTGATGGACTTTACTCCTTCCATGTTGCCAGCCTTACAATAGGACTTTAGCAGGGTTGATAACACAACTAAATTTGCTGAAAATCCTGATTCTTTCATCAAGTAATGAAGCGCCTCACAAGACTACCATGTTCTGCAAATTCGTTTATTATAGTCACATACACAACCTCGTTTGGTTTACACAAGTTTTTAACATTTCATAGTACAGGTCGACTACATCAGGAAGATAACCCAGAGTCCCAGACATCCAATAACAGCAGAAAAAGTCTGACTATGTGGCTTAAACCCCATTCCCTGCATTTCAACTGTGAGGTCCTTTGATTGGTCCATTAAACCAGTACCACATAACATTGGAATAATAGAATTACATGTATTATCATTAGACTGAATTCCTTGATTATTCATTTCTTCAAAGAGAAAAACATCATGACATTAAACTCTACTATAACCCTCGTTTGGCCCCCGTGGCTTAATAAGTTCACTTAGCCCATTCTACGGGCCATCCCACTCAATAGGCTACTTGGCGCATCCCTATATTTATTATATATAATATTGTAGAATGCAAATATGAATGGAGAACACTAATGCACCATGATATCTCTTATTTTACCTATATGAATTCAATATTAATTTAAAGAAAATATTTCATCTCAATATGAACTATTATCTATTATTTGCCACTTATTTGGTTGTGCCAACGTATTATCCACTACACGTTTGTAGCTGATAAATATGAACCAAGTAATGTGATGTTAAACAAATACCTCATTTAGCTATATGAACAAATGAACAAACAAACACTCCTAGGGAAAACTGATGCACTCCACTGGCAGCTATAAACACTCTTAAGGAAAACTGATCCACTCCACTAGCAGCTACAAGCACTCCTAGGGAAAACTGACTGCACATACATAAACAATTAAGAATCTTAGCAACATCTCAAACTCTTTGCCTCTTCTAAGAGTCCAGGTGCACACAAAGAAGCTCCACCATGAGCATCCTCTCCATTTCTAGTGCATCAACCTTGGATCAGCAGCATCAATTCCCCGTGAAAAAGCATCCCCAGATGCAAAAGATATGATTGTATTGACTCAGAAGATCATAACTTTATCAGAGAAACCAACCAAAAGAGAGCTTGAAGAATGGGTGATCGGAATCAAGAACCTATTGATGCACAAAACCCGTGGAAGTTACAAAAAAGCATGGATCGAAGAATATAGTTCATTTGCTTTTCTTAATTAATTGTGCCTAAATTCCGCCAGCCTAAAGAGGCTGTGCCGGGCTATGCACTTTCAGCCCTTCACATCAAGGTGACAGGAATTCAACCTATGGCCCTCGGTACCCAAAACAGATGCGCTGACCAGACTGCACTACACCTTGTCTCACCCACTCAGCAAATAGACTCACCCGATCAATGAACATTCAAACCAAACCTAATCAAGTACAAAATATTTCCAAAAACACTCCAAATATTTCCAAAAACATTTTACTTCAAGAAATAACAAGTACAAAATATGAACCCATATAATCCACAAATTGGCCAAACCTAATCAATTCCATTAGTAGAGTAGAATTGTTTATAAGTTTCCACAATTATTACAGAACCAACAGTATCAAAAAGATGTGTATAACAGGAATGCTGTGTGCTAGTAAATAACTAGTTACCTACTTTTTGCGTTTAAGAGGTCCAGTCTTGAAACCCCCCTTAGTTGGCTTACCCCAAGGAGTACGAGATCCTTTCCCCCACGCACCACTGCTCTTGCTCTTTCCCTCTCCTCCACCATGAGGATGATCAACCGGATTCATAGCCACACCCCGAACTACTGGTCTCCGACCAAGCCATCTACTATGTCCAGCCTTCCTAAGCTTGCGATCACCGTGAGTCGGATTCGAGACCGTCCCAACAGTAGCCCTGCATCGAGAATCAATCAACTTTTTCACACCAGACGGAAGCTGAACTAAACAGTACGCCGAGGTGGGCTCCTTCAAGATCTTTGCATTGGTTCCGGCTGCCCGAACAAGCTTCCCGCCTTGTCCCGGGTTCAGCTCAATGTTGTGAATGATTGTTCCGATTCTCATTGCAGAGAGAGGCATACAACTTCCAATCTGCGAGTTTATGTCGGAATACATCATTCTCTCGCGGGCCTCATCGGGAATGACGTTTGCAACCTGTGCTAGAAAACCAAAACAAAGAATCATAAGCAACATTGTACATTGAAAATTGATTTAAAAATTGGAAAAAATGAAATTTTGAAATTACCAGAAGAGAAGCGGCGAAGAGCATTGGAGAACAAATTGAATACTGACGATGTGGAGCGATTTCTCAGTAATGGTGCAGCCATTCATAAAAAATGAAACTGTCACAAAAAAAGAGCAATTGCAGAAAAATACAATTCAGTGCAAATTTTGATTAGGTTAAATTAAATTGCAAATGCGAAGATGTTAACACTGAAACTAAAATCTGTGTTTTCAATCGCTAGAGAAAGAAAGGGAAATCGTTGAAATGAGAAAAAGCAAAACCTGGACGATTTTATCGCTGTTTCTACCGCCCGGGTTACAGCTCCGGTTGCTTTTTCCGGCGAATTGAGTTCAGTGAGACTACAACTCCGGCTGCGTTCTCTGATTCAAAGAGCAAAGTAATGAATGAGTTTTTTTATTTTTTTGTTTAGGGTTTGTAAGAATTCTTGATTTTGTTAAAATTGAAATAAAAAATGGGTATTTCTTAATGCACCCTTACGACTTGTTAGATGTTTTTATGAAATTTCTTTAATAGAGTATCCCTTAATTCAAATATATATATATATATATATATATATATATATATATATATATATATATATATATATATATATATATATATATATATATATATATATATATATGAATTTACTACATTGCAGTTTTTTATCGAATAGGTTTGAAGATGTATATTCGAAGTTATTAAATGGTATCTTCAGATATGTATATCTGAAATAAGTTTTTTTTTTTAAATGAATGTTATTTTCGAATATGCATATCTGAATTATGCGGAATCAGAAACAGATTCTACTTTAGTAGAATCAGTATCATAGAAATTTAGAAAGAAAATCGATAAAAGTAAACAGCGGTAAAATAAAATGTTGAATAAATATGTTATATATGTATGGAATCATATAGAATTTACATTGTGTACGATAATACATTCAAAAAATGGTTCGATTACATTCTAAAATACATTGAACAAATTGTCACCGCTTAAATCTAAAATTGGTTATTTCTTCGACTTCTCCCTATTTGATTCTCTCTGCTCCGTCAATTTGGTGAACTTTATCATCCTTTCCATAAATTGATCCGACAAAGTCTCTGTATCTTTTGTAGAATGTGTCGTCCACTCCATTGATGTAGCCGAAATAGGACACCCCAGTTTCAAATAAACCTAAACAAAATGGAGTGATATAAGATATCCAATACAAATGATGCGGCCAGATGGGTCTTTAGGTGGGCGACTCCGAAGTGGGAAAAATGTCTCCGAAAAACCATATCTCGTCAGATCGATGCACACTTTGTCATATCAACTTGCTATAAGATGATCCATTTCAGGGAAGCACATCCACTTTGCAACTGGTGCGTGACTGCTAACACATAGAATAAGAGCATTGTGAATTTTATCGAATTCTTCCTTTTTCCCATATAGTCGTGTGTAAAGTTTTGTATGCACCGTCAACTTTGAAATAAGTATTTGGCGTACAAGAGTGTGATTCTCCTCTCCTTTACCAAGTAAATCGGACACGGTCCGAAACCCGCAATTATCATCACCCCTACATCTATAATTATTTCAATGTGTTTGTGCATAAAAAGTGATATCTCATTAATGTGGATAATCGGTGGTGGAATTAATGGTTTTTTAATTTGAGGTGTAAGTGGTGGTTTTTTAATAGGCGGTGTACGAGGTGGTTTAGAAATGAGAACTCCCTTGAAATACTTTTTTGCAATTTTGGGGTTGGAGAATCCGAGAAACGTGAATCAACAACTTCATAGTAAGACATAGTCCACTTAATTGAACTATCATCTTGTGTACTTTTCACCTTTTTGGTGCACCTTTGGTTTTTATTGGTTTTCACCTGATCAAGAATAGTAGATTCAACGTATTTCATAAATTTTGGATATTTGACACACAATCTCCTGAAATGTACCACATTCTCAGCATACAACTCTTCTGTAGAAAAATTTAATATATTTGTCCATACATCCATTATCTTCTCTAACACAACACTAGATTTGACCATGTTTTTCGTCTTCACCCTTTATTTCTTTGGTGTCAACCGTAGGTTTGATCCGAGCTCTGACATTTTTTGTTATATGATACCGACAAAGTAATGCATATGATGTAGGAAACACACTTCTAACCGCAATCATAATGGCGTTATCTCAGCCGATTACAAGACACTAGGCATATTTTGTGGATTCTTCAACAAACTCTTGCATATCTCCAACGCCCATGTAATGTTGTCTTCTTTCTCATATTCCATAAATGCAAATCCAACCGAAAATGTCTTCTCCGTAGAAGTGACACCAATAATTTCTAGAAGTGGAAGCCTATACTTGTTTGTCTTGTACATTGAATCAATTATAAGGACAGTTGGAAATATGTTGAACAATTTGATACTTTCTGGATGAGTCCAAAAAATTTCAGGGACACTGACTTTATCCTCACACACTCTGTACCTTGAAACATAATGGTTATCATCCAAAAGTTTCAAAAATGGTTGCATTTTGGATTTCGGAGCTCTATTCGCCATGCTTTGTTAATAACGTTCATTGTATACATGCCTGATATTTGAAATATCATATGGTATTTTCATATTCAAATAGGCAAATATGTTTCTCGGTGCAACTTTGATTATCGACATTTCCGAAATAATTTCCTTCTCCTCCGGCTTAAACCGACATACAATTGGATGACCTTGTAGCTTGGTATCCAATGCATGATTATGTATACCAAAAATGACATTAAACTGCCACATATCATCCACCCTACATTATCCGCACAATTTAAACGGACACTCACATTTTCTCGATATGGTGTCCTCGTGTTTTAACTTCGGAATTTTTGAAACATTTTTTCCACTTATCTTGCATGTCATCATTACAAATGCTTTCTTTCTACTAGTGTCATTGTCAGACCTTCCAATCACAACGCCAAACCCAGATTTGCTAGCTTCCATTCGGATCCATTCAAGCATATGTTGACGAGCACTGAAAATTTGATCATTTGTAAATTATTACCAAACATCTATCTCGACGTTAATTGTTTTAACGCCATCATTCACCTCATCCGGCTTAACATCGTCATCCACCTTGTCTGAAACCTATACAACAACTTTGGGAAATATGTCGGGGTGCACCATATCTAAAACAGGCAAAAATAGAAACTTTGTTAAAACAAAATTTTGTTTCTGTATCAGGGATAGTTTTGGATATGCACATCTGAAATATAGTAGGTGGGTTTTGGATATGCATATCCGAAGTAACGCTATTTTTTCATCTCAAAATCAACATCAATGCAAGGAAATGAGAGATGAAGTAAGGAAAGTTTACCTTATATTACAACTTTCTATGCTCTCTTTGATATGATAAAACACTTGAAACTTGGTTTGAAGAATAAAATTTAATTGAGAATGATTAAAGTTTTGTGATAGGTTTTGGTTATGGGGATAAATGAAGATAATGAAATAGTGGTAGGGGTGATCATGCAGCAAGTTGATATAACAATAATATTTTTAGATATGCAGATCCAAAAATACCACTAAATGTTTAAATATAATGTTCAAATAATAATAACGTGTAAACATGAGTGTTTTAGGAGATGCATTTTCGAAACACCTTGAAAATTGATCTAGGTTGTTTTTGGAGATGCGTTTCTGAAACACCTTAAAAATTAATTTAGGATGCATCCGGAAATGCATATTCAAAGGGAATTTTGGGATTTTTAGAGATTTACTTCACCCACATAAGGGTGTATTAAGAGAGTCTCTAAAAAATTTGTGTATTTAATGGGCCACATTTCTAAGAAATTGTATTGGCCTTTGGACATAGGACATTTCAAGGGAATTAATTTCTACATTCCATCTCATGGGATGATAATTCACCACGGGGAAAGTTATAAATACCTTTAGATTTTGAAGATGCATGATGAAATAATCAACTGAAAATCATCAAACAATAAAATCAATGAAGTCGCCATCGAGCGTTTTTTATCCCACATGAAGGGAAAGGTAAACATCGAGTAAACCTGAGAAGGGTGAAATCAAGGTCGAACGACCAAGAGGTAAGGGTAAGGGAGTCTGTTACGCGAGGGGAAGGTATTAGCACCCCACACGCCCGTAGTACTCTATGGTATCCACTCTTGTTATCTATCTTATGGGTGTGTTCAATTTATGCTTACTGTTTACTATACTACTGAAGGGAGAATGCATGCAAAAGGAATGAGAAAAGAATGTAGGGAAAATAAAATTGTTGTGCTCGCTCGGGCCCTACTCCAATGTCTACGTATCCCTTTTAAGGAATCAGAGCAGCCGTAGTTCGGCTAACATGTTTTTGTTGGTTTTGATTTTTAATGAACATTATTAATTTCGCATTTTGCCACAACTCGACCTTTGGAGACTTACGCGTCGGCACAGAAGTGAATTAACATGTTCTTTTTGAAAAGTTTGAGAGAAAAGCCCGAAGGCGCAAAATAGTTTGCATTGGTTGATATCTTTTACCTTGAAGAAGGATTTGGAAGTTGTTAGATGTTTTAATATTTTCAAAGAAAAAGGAAGTTTTTGTTTTAATGCATGGATGCAAAATAAAGAAAAACATCTAAGGGAGACTAGTCTAAATCTATCCCTAATGTTATCATACAATGATTGATCCTAAGATTGAGTTTTGAAGGGAAATCTCTACCCTAAGTTGACATGCTTGGATAACAATCCTAATGTCTATCTCAACTCATCATCTATAGACGAATCAAGAAGTCCTAAAGGAGCATAGCAAGGGTCTATCACCTAAAACTATGTCTATCTTGAATCATCATCTATGGTCGAATCGAGAGCTCTTAAGGGAACATGCAGAGGATATATCATCTCAAAACATGCACACAAAGATGAAATCAAACAAACAAGCCAATAAGCTCAAGAGAGCTAACTCAGGAGAGATCCTATCTAGGCTACCATTACCTAAGAAAGTCTAACAAAATTATCCTATAGGGAACATGCAATGAGAGCGAAGTCGTGATCTCAATTTCTAAATTGAGTGACTCATCGATCAACAAGAAATAAAGGAAAGCAATGAAATCCTATAGGGAGCATGCACTGAGAGCGAA